ACAAGTGCACTGAAGTCAGGTTGAATATCTGTGGTGGATATGCGAAGAACAGCACTCAAGTGATTGTCACTTAGAGAGGATCTGTATCTGGATTTGTTGAACTTCATCACTGAGAATGTTTGTTCACATATGTAAGTGGATCCAAAGAGAACCAACATCTTCTGAGCATGCCTCCTTAGGTTTGGAAAGCTCTCCTCTTTGAGAGAAGAATAAAAAGTCAGCAGTGATACTGACTTAAAGTGCTCTGCCAGCAGTTTATCAGACTGCAGATCAATGAGTTCAAGCTGGACATCGCTGGCTGCAGTATTCACACTGCAGCTGAAGGGAGAGGAAATCATGTGCATTTCATTCTCAACTGTTTTGAAGTCTTCAAATCGTCTTGAAAATTCAGCATGCAATGCCCCCAACATGGATGAGTACCTGTGGAGGTGACTTCCTTCAGTGTGGGCATGTGGGTAAGAATGTTGCCCTCCAACTGGCTTGAACGAAACTTCAGCTTTCTCATAAAAGCTGTCACCAGGCTGTACATTTCATGTGCAAAGAGGCCCTTGCCTTGCAGCTTGGTATATAGTTCATTCATTAGTGCAGTCACATCAACAGCAAAAGCAAGGTCTGCCATCCAGTTTGCATCTGAGAGCTCGGTGATGTCCCTGCCTTTCTTCTCACAAAACTCTTGAATCTCTGCTCTCAGATCCCATACTCTTTTAAGCACCTTGCCCAGGCTGAGCCATCTGACAGCTGTCTGGTAACCGAGGTCACCATGTTCACTCTCATGCTCCTCCAAATAGACAACAAACTGTCTGTGATTAAGTGCTCTTGCCCTGATGAAGTTAACAACTTTAGTAACAACATCAATCACGTGGTTGATTTTTAGCACTGACTTGCACAACACCTCCTGATGTATAATACGATGCAATAATATCAGTTTCTGTTCTGGGTTTATTTCAGTCACTTTATCTTGCATCTGCTTCGAAAGTCCGACATTTTTCCCTGTCAAATTTGGACAGCCATCAGTTGTAACACCGACCAAATTCTCCCATTTTAGTCCCAGCTTGTTCATGCAGGTATTTACCTCTGTGAACAAATCACTCCCCGTCGTGGTCCCTTTCATCGGCTGCATAGCTGCCAGCTCCTCCATCATCTCAAAGTTTTTAGTTAATCCATGTACAAAGATGAGTAACTGGGCTATGTCGCGGACATCACAGCTCTTGTCCAGAGCCAAGGAGAAAACGTCAAAATTGTCCACTTTGTTTTGCAGCTGAAGCTCCAGATTTTCTGTGATGCTCTCCACCCTCCTCGTTACGGTTCGCCTGGGAAGGGGCACATTAATGAATGCTTCTTTTTTCTCTGGGCATAGAAATGCTGCAGAGTCCACCAGGCATTCTTTGACAAACTCCCCATCAGAGAATGGCTTACTTTTTTTGGTGATTTTGTAGGCTATTAGAAAGCTCATCTTGACTGCTGTGTCCCGTGATGTGTGAGCTTTGGTAAAAAAAATCCTTGCTGCTTTTGCAGCTTAGCTAGCAAAGCTTCAGATGTCCGTGTCCGCTCTGCATCAGTCAAATGTTTGTACTTCTCCGCATGTTTGGTCTCATAATGTCGATTCAGATTATAATCCTTCAGCACCGCGATCTGTTCTCCACAAACTAGACACACAGCTTTGCCTCTGATTTCAGTAAAGAAATACTTGGACATCCATACCTTGTTAAAAACTCTACATTCCAAATCAATCTTTCTTTTTTTGGCGTTAGATGACATCTTCATGGGCTGAAGCTAACCAACAAACAAATCAGTGCATAATCCTTCTGCAAAGTATGGAAAGTAGGCGCAAAAAAACATTAATTTAGCAGATCCTTCAAAATAAAAGCAGTGCAGTTGTTTTGCTTGCATCCATATTATGACGATATATATTTGCATTGACTTTTAATTTGCCAGTGACCTCATGCGGGCCAGTCAGGGTCAGCCATTGGGCCGGATGTGGCCTGCGGGCCATACAATGCCCAGGTCTGGTCTAGTGAATGCATGTAGGCCGGGCCAACACAAACTGCTGCTCCCTCTCCTACTCAGTGCATTCCCTCTATGTGCCTTGAATACCTACATTGTCTTGTTAGTGGTAGGGCTTGCCATTGTAATCCTGCTTTTTCTATGCACATTTCTCATGCTGAAACAGTTGACTACACCCTCTCTTGGCCAAAACCTTCTGTGTTTCAAAGACAGAAAGACATACTGGGCCGGGTTTGGTTGTACAGGCATAGACTAGACACTCTTATTTTCTCACCATGAGCTAGACAAAGGGTAGACTATCATACACCTGCCCAGCCCTGATATTACATTGTTCAACTTTAGGAATTGTTGCTGAGTGCTATAGCCTCAATTTATCCACTGGAATAAATTGGAATGTGATTACGTTTTACATACCAGTATAACTGGTTCTTCAGGTCTTTGGGGTTCTTTGCTTTCCTCATGACCTTTCCTCAACCTACTCCCATCTATTGACACAATCTTGTAACTTCATCTACTAAGTCATCTCCATGTACACTAAGTTGAAATATTATCACTGAAATATTTTAAAGCATTTGAATGATCAAAAATAAATGAAAGCGAATGTGTATAAAGTAAAAACACTTCCAATATCACTGACAATATCAACATATGATAGTGAATATCATATACTGAAATGGAAAAAGTGATGCTTTGAGTGTAGTTTGGAATCATTTTAACTTACACTGGCCCTTCAATCATTTCTAGTCCATTTCTGGGCATCAGGCTGGGTTTTCTGGTTATAGATGTTGCAGAACATGGATTTCTCAGCATTCTATACAGCAAGACCTTTTTATCTGCATAGTGTGCTGACAGTGTTTCTACTGGTGACTAAAAATTCATAGATATTATGGATAGTGCAGAGCTATGCCTTTCAGAAGTGATGATCAAAAACATCCTGCACTTGCAGTTTTATAGAGGCTGCAATCTGTCAACAGTAAAGGAAATTTCTCTTAAGTGATACGAAGGTGCTTATCTCAGAACCTAGTGAACTGATAGTTGAGACAAGTGAGATTCTTCTGAGAAGTCATTCATATAGCTGATGGTGATCAGGGATTGGTGTCCAAACATGCTATTCTCTCTAAGGCAGAAAATTATAGAACACATTTTTAAAGGTATCTAGAATACAAGTCATTTTAGTGTAGACTCTGTAGTGATGAATTGAACAAAGTGGCGTTATATCAACAATTAATCAAATGACCACTGTCATACTTCACAGAGCCAGTATGGTTTCATGGTTAGATTGAGGGAGCTGGTGTGGGGAAATGTCAGTTTACTCCATGTTTGGCTATGAAAGACTGCATGGCATGTGAAAGAGAATCCTCAACATTATCTGTGAGAGAAGTGTTCGGAAGTGCTTAGCAGGGTGCAGATTTCCACCCTGCATGAGTGGAGTATTCCAAGAACATTCATTTGTATTGGATAGTTGCAAACTGAATGAAGAGGTCAGATATCTTCTTAGTAAAGACTTTTGTTCTACTTTCTCATTCTTTCTTTGCAGTGTCCCCATTGAGGGGTAGTTCCTTGCTCCTTGTCCTCAATAATGGTGGCCACTCTCATTCAACACTACTTCTGAAAGGAGTATAAGGCACGGAATTGTGCACACTGCCCAGAACAAGCCACCTCTTGTTTCCTTCTCCCAGTCATGGCAACAGCTTTTGAGTTTACATCATCAGCAGTAGTCCAAAAAACTTGCTGACCTTGCTTATCTACATGTTCCCACTCTTTGTCTGCACAGACTTGGTCACCCGGAGTATATGTCTGAGTATATTACTTTATTTCTATGCATTAATGTAAGAATTTCTGCTGCATATTTCTAGTGTACACACACTACTCTGAGTGGCTTACGATAATGAAATCACAACACTGTTTTAAGACTATTCGGATTTGTAATATTCCCATTAATATGAAAGAAGTATGCATAATTTGGCCATAGGAATTTCCAAATCAACTAGCTGCACAAATAAATTTACTTCAGTAAATAACTTGAGACAAATGAAACTATACTATTTATTACAGGTCATGTATATATTGTTTGTCAATTATTTCAAATCTTAGACTTAGATCTGGGCTAGAACTTCACAGCAACTTTTGCATTCTTTCTATTCCTTTCTAATCTATACTTCCCTTATTCATAAGCAATCTTGCCCTTTTGTCCCAAGAATTACAAATGTACAGAATGTATATAACTGTATAAAAATGTTTTCTTGCATTTACACTGTCTTTTCCTAAGCAAGTGATTTTAACTGACAGCTTATTTGATTTCTAAAAGCCACCTAAAGTTCTGAAACAAATAAAAGGAAAGGAAAGGAAAGGAAAGGAAAGGAAAGGAAAGGAAAGGAAAGGAAGAAAGAGAAAGAAAGGAGTTTGGTTGTTGCTTTAAAAAAATAAAACATGGGTTTTGAGGTTCTTAAAATGATACGGGGAAGGTAGAAGATGCTTGGAACTCATGAAGGGAAGGATTTGGGTATTTTGATCTTTTTATGGAAATGCTGACAGTGAAAATGTGCAGTAGGGCTTTTCCCTTCTACTATAATAGAGTCAGTCCCTTTCTGCTAGGCCTGGGACTTATGTATGTACAGTTGCATGCATGCAGCCTTCTGCTGCACGCATGTTATCCCTGGATTCAGACTAGTAGGCCTTCTCCATAGGTGTCAGAATAATGGCAAAAAGATGAAAAAAAAATCTCTGTTTCTGTGTTTTATACCATGTGATGCTCTTTTTTGTTGATGAATGTATATTAGTCATAACTGTAAGCTATATTTTCCAAGGCATTTCAAATGCACTGAACAAAGGAAGGGGGAATCCAGGTAATACAATAAGCAGGAGAAGAACCGCTGACCTGACATTACCAAAAATACAAATAAAAACAGACACTAAGATGAAAACAAAATAGTGTCATGGATTTACATATGGGGGTTTTGATGAAAACTAGGGCTGGGTTTTAGTTCAAAACTCACCATCTCAAAACCACTCCTTTTCATCCGCCTGCAGGACTTGAGGTAAGTACGTATACGCTTTCTGGCACGCTCTTGGTACTCAGGGAATTGTCGCCTGCATGAGTCAATGATAGCCTGGATCTTTTCTTTGGGCTGCTTAGAGATTGGGACCATTCGGTCCAAGTTTTCATCTACAAACAGCCTGACAAACATCTGTTGGCAAGAGGGAGACAGAGGAGAAGGATTTGGAGGGGTGCTGTCTTCTCTTTCTAAGCTTCCTGTCTCAGTTACAGATAAGAAGACATTTTGTTTAACACAGTGAAGAGCTTTCTAATGGAAAGTCAGAAATGTTAAGTAAACCAGGATTTTATTTTAGGACTGACAAACAAGACAAGAAAAGATTAGACTGTAGTGTACAGAAATTGTGAGGGAAATAAAACACAGATTGTAAAAATAGGCACTGCATCAGGTCTCTTACTAACAGTGTGCTGTGATCACTGCATTGATTTATTGTACACAGCCTCTGACTCTTCCTTTGCTACAGACTTTGTGTGTGTGTGCTGTCATGCAAAATTATACAAATTAGGAAAACAATAGAAAATAGCTGACCACTGAAACAGTCTTCAGAAATTATCTGCAGATTGTCTCTCTGCTGGGCGTACATACACATGCACACACACGCGCACACACGCATGCACAGCCCACCACTGAGGTTTCTCTTACAGGTATAGATGCCTTAATTGCCTAAATCTGGTGAACCTGGCACTTCTTTGCTAGTGCTTAGACGTGCTTGTGAGGGGAGCAAAGTCCCCCTTCCATAAATAAAACTAATACACATCTTTTATTGCCACCTTTACCCATAAACAAAAGCCCCAAATAAAGAGATAAAATTCAAACAGGTATAAGAATGCATTATTTAACTCACATTAAAAGCTTTCAGGCGCTCAGCTTCTACCCCATCAGATTCATTAACCTTCTCAGCATCTTCATGTTCATCATGGTCATCCTCATCCTCCTCTCCCCGATTCAGGGAAAGGTCTTCAGCGCCTCTGTCCATGCTTTCATTCTTGCCAGAATCATAGCTGGAATAGCTATGGGCAGGTGACTGGGAATAAAGGAAGTCATTTTGTAAAACATGCTTGAAGAAAGCATCTGTTTCATCTCAACAAATCTTGGTTTTATATACACACATATATAAATTCTCACTGGATCAGTTAAACTGAAATGGTTGCTCAGAAACACTTTTGCAGAGAGCTTTAGATCAGTCAGTAGGCAAATGTGCAACTTAAGAGAAAAGTTACAAACACATAATTTAGGCACAGTATTAACATCAGGAACTGTTAACAAAATTGTTGAACAGAATGTGGATTGGAACCTGCATGAACTAATTTAAAGTTTCAGCTTTGCCATGAAATTAAAGTCTAGCCTTAGGCAAATTAGTTATGATTTGTTAGTACATGGGGTTATTCTGTTCTTATAGCCACTTGTTCTTATTACAGTTAACTGTTTTTGCCTCAAAAACATTTACAATCTATACATGCTTGTGCTTTTAATAATTGGTATGTTCTGCCTGTGTTTCATGTTCAGGTAAAAAAAACCCATAATATAAAATAGATAGTAAGAAGTACCCTTCTGTTTACATGTAGCTTTCTTTTTCTCTCTCACCTGTCCATCCTACACACTAAAGATGACAAGTCTGCAGCCATGGCATAGGAGGAGACAGGGAAAGGCATGGGATTTCTAAACTGATGCCCTCCATATGCAAGTCCTGCATAAAGAAATGCCTTGGAAGACCTGTAGCAAGGGAAGAGGTGGGGTACGGGTGGGTATGCTTATACATTGGTCCAGAGTGCAACAAAACAGGAGAGCTATTCTAGCGAACACACAGCTTCAGCTGAGTGGGAGCAGGATCAACCAGGAGCAGGTGGCATGCCCAGAGGACTGTGTGAACCACAGATTGAGAGGCAGGCAAAGTAGACAGGAGCAGTGCACCTTGGGATTAAGTTTCAGTCACAGAGGCTGATGGAAAAGCTGCTGCCATTAGGAGGAATGAAGGAGGAGGGTAGAAACCAGACAACTATGGGAACCATGTGATTGTTTAGAGGCAACAAGCTGGTAAGAAGCCACGCCACATGGTAACCATACACCATGGTGTAGCATTACATGTGAACACAGTGAGATGATTCTCATGTAACAGCCATAATGTGTAAATTGGGCAGAGCTGTGTGTGCCATGAAAACTGCAGTATCTCTAAGTTGGTCTGCTTCCCTCAGGCGAGGTGGGGTATGTAGTTCAGTGCCAGATTTCTGCTACTTGAGGTGGGAAGCACACTCACTAGCTACCACCACTGTCACAGCCTGCTCTTCCCATGCCTGTCTCCCTTGTTCCCCCCTACCTCTGTTTCCCTTCCCCTGCCCACCATGTCTGCCTGCCTTTGTTTTGCCTACTGTGTCTTCCTCCATTCTTGTATTACATCTGTCTCCCTCTCTTTACCTGCTGGAACTGTCTTCCCCACCTGCCCACCCACCAGTCACATCTTTCTCTCATCTGGCCACCAACTTCACTGCCCATTTGCCAACTCAGCCTGTCTGTCTCCTCACTCACTCTATCCCCACTGCTGGTCTGCAGGTTGGCCAGCTTTCTGAAGCCTGTAATATGGGCAATTGCCAAAGACACCCTTCTTCCCACCATGCCTTGTTCTATGGAATGACCCATCAGAACCAGGAATTTGGGTCTGGCCAACTCTTTGCTGGCCAGTATTCCAGCAGAACCCTTCAGAACTTGACAGGCTGCTGCTTATTCTGAAAGGATCAACTGAATAGGCCCTAGTAACAAGGGAGAGACAGAGGGATTGGAAGTTGCAATGGCAGCAGCAGGTTCTCCTTGCAGTTGGAAGGGGTAACCACACAAATTGCTGTTCCTTCCACTCTGCTGCCCAAGGTGGGGGATCTGCCCTGGCTCAAGAAGACTTTCATACTGTCCTGTCAACAGAGTTGAATAAGAGACAACTTACTATCTAGTCACCTTCCGTACATAGAATTGAGGGTTGGGTAGGAGTGCCATCTTGTCTTTCGCCTCAGATAGCAAAATGTCTTTAGCCAGCCATATAAACAAGAATTAGGTAGGAAAGCATTCTCCATATTCTAATCCTTGCCACTGAACTTGCATACTTACATACATACATACATACATACATACATACATACATACAAACTCAAACTATTTGACTTCTGTTATATTTTGGGAGAGATCTAGCTATCATCTGCTGCCAAGCCCCCTTATCTATATAATGAGGTTAATGGGCATGAAGAGACTGAAATCTTACATTAAGATTCCAGATCATGAGAATGGAAGAACAACTACTGGCAAGTGTTCTCTTGGGCTTTTAAAAGTTTAAGGGAATTTTTGGAAAGAATGTTGCAGTGTTTCTTTTGTGGTTACACATTTTATGGAGTGATTTCTTTACATATATCTATTTTAGGCATGAATCAGATTCAGATGTTAAGTGCTAGATGATGCACTAAGGAAGGGTGGAAATCAAATATAAAATGATATAATTTGAAATCATCCAGGAAAGAGATCTTGGGAGGTAGCTCTCTGAAAATATCAGTTTATTTGACTGCAGCAATGTAAAAGGCAAAGGTAAGCTATGGAATATAAGGAGTTAGAAATAGAATAACAAGTATCAATGCCACTACAGAAAGGTGTGATGTATCTACATTTAGAATGCCATGGGTTACTCTGGTTATCCCAGGTAAAAAAGGATTTTGTAGAGCTGGGGATGGGGTAATAAGTTAATATGACTTAGTAAGTCAGTTAATATGACTTAGTGGTAGGAACGCCAACTGTTTTGTGAACATTTTCATAAAAGAGATGATCTGGAAATATTGCAAATAAGTAAATGAAGTACTCGGATCTTATTCTTATTCTTGGCGATTATTTCTTCTCCACTTTTATGTTCAAACACACACACAAAGCAGATTACAATAGTTAAATATAAAACAGAGTACAAAAGAATCATAATAAAAACCTCTTTAAAAGGCTAAATTAAATGAGAAGACCACATTTTAACAGACTAAAATCACACATAGAGCAATCATGTTGAAATAAGGTTTTTCCCCTTACAGATGGCTCAACAATGAAAAGAGAAGAAGCCATACAAATTTATCTGGAGAAATCTGGAAATCATTATTCCAGTCTCAGTACCACCAAACAGGTAGCACTTATGAGGAAGATCTCACTCTCTTAACTCATTGAAAGGTGGTGGCTAAGAGGACGACCTCTGATATTGATCTTAAACGATGGGTAGGCTCATGTTGGAGCAAAGAGTGTCTGAGGTATCCTCCCTTCAGCAATTTCATTGGAATGAAAAGAGATTTAAGAAATGACAGTTTTTTAGTTTAGCAAAGTTGATACTAGAGTGTATGCTATGATAGAGGCTGATACAAATATGAACAGGATGATGACAGTGAGCAGAAATAAATTATTCTTTGTACATTTGGACTCAGGGTCATCCAGTGAAATGGACTGACAGTGGTAAATTTAAAAGGGAGAGTTTCTTCACACAATGTACCATTAAATTTGCAAATTCATTGCCACAAGCTTGGGTGATAGTCATTATGGATTATTTGATACTGTAGCCAATTTCATCTGAATGATCCAGTGTAAACATGAACCATTGATTGTAAAAGACATGATTTCATTTATAATATTTTAAATTATACTAATATATGTTCCAGAGGAAAACATTTTCATATAAAACACCTTACATTGACATATATTTATGCAAAATAATTTGCTAATAAGGTCCAGTGCATACTTAGTTCCAGCAGAGAGAACTTTTTAAAAGTACCAGCTTTTTAAAAATATTAATATAAATCACAATACCCTGAAAATGTGTCCCTTTATTTTTCTAGAAGTGCCTGGTACTGTAATTCTTTGTGTCTTCTCATTATTATGCAAAGCACAATATAACACAAGTCTGAGACATAATCTTTCCATATTTATTTAATATAATTTCACTTCACAGCTTGATAGAAGGCCAGAAAAGCTAAAGTGATGGTTATATAAGATCTGTTCAAGGCATGAAATAACTCTTTCATGAAACTGATTTGACAGAGGGTTTTTTTAAAGACTTTTCTTGCCTAACATAAATTTATTTAACAAATCTCTTGAAGGTGAACTGATAGAAAGCAGCAGGCCTGCAAGAGAGTTCGTTTCTAGCAAGGCCAATAGTCACCCAGAATCTGAATGCATAATAACTCATGTGATATTGGGAATAGCCAGTATTTTTAATTGCATACAGTTCAAGGAATTGCAAACTGAAGAATTACGTATGTTAAGAATGGGCATATTGGTATGCAAGGGGAAGCTAAAATTCTTAGCACAGTAATACAGAATATGCACGAGCAGCATGTAGGTTTACACTTTGGGGCAGCAAACTTAATTCTTTTACAACAACCTTCCCCAACCTGGTGGACTGCAATTTCCATCACTCACAGCCAGAATTTCTAAATTAATGAAGTTATCTTTCTAAGTTCATAAGTTTTCCACTGCCCCGGCAGAACATATGAAGTTTCTGCTGAGCAGAGAAATCCTTTGAAATTCTGTTGCTAAAACACCAGGTTAAGGACTTTTTCCAGGATTAGTCTGATTAAGTATTGAGATCATCAGCAGAGGCTTTATTGAGTGTCCCAAATTTTCCTACGACTGGGAGGGAGATCATATTATTGGCAGCTGCACCTGCACCTGCTCTCAGTCCTTCTCTGGAGACTGTTCATTTTAGAAGTAACTTCACGGAAACTGGTTCTTAATTCCTGTTTCTATTGTTGTTTTCCTGAGAAGAGGAAAACATAGCAGGCTTTTATAATCCCACTCTGCACCCCCATACAAAGATTGTGCATGAGTGTACCTCCACTAGTGTGCCCCCCCCCCCCCCCCCATGCATCACACTCAGGCAACAACTGGGCTTCCGGTAATACATTTTATAAATTGTTCTGAATTCTAGGTTGTAGTTTTCTTTTTAGTTATACCATATCAACTGCCTTCCTTTACTTAAGTTAGTAAATGTAACTTTCCCCCTTGTATTCTTCTATATAAATTGAA